TACTGCATAACACTAACATAGCACTACACTACTACTCTTTGTACTGGTGAGCAGATTTATTACCTTGGTGCCACGCTGTGTTTGATGTCTATGCATGTCACAAGGCAACTTTACTTTCATCATAACGATTAAGTTGTTATGACCAGCTAAGATTGCCTTGGTCATGACACAGTTATCTGGCTGGTTTACATAGGGCTTCTGGGACGTCCAAATACTGTTTGTATCACCTAGGCATCAATCTGTATCCACCCAACGCTGTTGACCGCAAGGATGTCACAGGTGTACCTCCACCATCGGATGTCATGAAAGCGAATATCTGCATACTTACTTGTCAGTCAATGGCAAGTCTGAATGGAAACACTGCTCTCACCACACAGGATTTTAGCACCATTTCTTGATAGCTGTAATGACGATATTATTTTTCAGAGTGCTGGCAATACCAGTTATTTCTCATTGTGCAACCGTATAAGAAGAACTATTCCATACATGGTGCGTGCATGCATGTAATGCTTACTACTGAGCTTGAGGGGGAAGCCATCCTTTAGTAAAACTTCTGGCACACCAGACATTTCATACTTCTCTTTTCTAAGAGCCAGCAACAATTTCCAACCGCAATTTTTGCCACTTACTGTGTATGGTTGGGGCCGGGGGAAGAAGGTGGCATGGTGCTGGGTGGCCCAGTTGATCAGGGTGTGGGAATTTGTGAGTGTAATTGGTCGTTGTAAAGATATGCTTGTTTCCTGCAATCCCAAGCATTCGGAGCAATGACGCCCAAGCAGGTGATGGCCGTGAGCGAATCATCGAAAACTTCCCGGATGCACGTAAGCTGGTTATCCTTAGCACGGGCAATAGTACTTATCATCACGTGTCATCCGAGAGACTGCAGTAGACCTTTCATTGTGCTCCCCTGCCATAGCTACTTTCTTTGACTGGTCTGTTAGTGGAAATATGCATGATAGTGATCATTTTCCCATTAAAATCTACGCCATACCACCACTGATGACGCTGCCCTCGGTTCCGATGCCACGATGCCCCGATGAACTCTACACCAGGCTGACTGGGCCAAACTTGAAGAAATTAGCTCTCATATTGATACACCATACACTACACGAGAACAGGGGATAGACCAGATCACAACCATTCTTCGCACAGCAGCTTACATGAAAGAAAAGGCAGCAATTTCAGCAGAATTTCCTCCCAAAGTTGGCGGTTAGCCTTTCCGTAGATAAGCGTTTTTCCCTGCTTAGCGTTTTTCTTAGAATGTTGTGATCACATGTCGAAATTTCCGCAGTAAAATCACATACTTCAGGGATCTGTGAACAATCGTTTGAAGGCGACCGCAAAAAAGAGACAAAAAATAATTGTTCGAGAGGGAAGGGGCACAGTTGGCCCGTCCTGCCTCGATGGAGGCCGTGAGTTCGATCCTTACCTAGGGCACGTTTTAAGGCACCCACGGTTTGTACCGGTTCTCGAGTCATATCATTCAGCAGGCATGGGATCCTTCCGCTACCCTTCCCTAAGTAACACGAGCGTCCGTTTTCGCCGGCGCGTAGCTCAAGAGGTAGAGGGGCTTAATTAAGTTTTCAGAAGGACAGGATTGGTAACAGCATTGAGAGGTTTTCAGTCGGATATTTCACTTCAAAACCCCATGAATATGTGGAACACTCCCTTTAAGTGAAACCATGGAGCCGTTAACAACACCCATCACCCTACGACTTTGTTGCATACGTCGCAGCTTCTGTTCCAAGACTTTCCAAGGACGTGGTATGACTCAGTTTTGTGCACGAACCCCAGCTTGCGGCCCAACCAGTTGCGATCAAGGCCTGAGTCGGACACGACGGTATGTGGATATTCGGGTCGGGAACTTCTTGGCAGAAAAGCTGCCATATCGCTGGCATTTCTTCGCTGTGGTGGAAACACTGAATTACAGGAGTATCGGTTCAGTTCACCCGCCAAAAATGAAAAACCATCCCAAGACCGCTTAGTCTGCAACACAAAATTATCGGAAATTACGGTATTAAGTTCCAAACCGAAAACCGCTCTGTTCCCTCCGCTACACCCCCGCAAACAAGGGAAGACTATTTCGGAGAATGTTTGAAGGCTACCTCTGCATTCATGACGTCATAATAACGCCGGTTAAATCCTGCCATTCCACAAACCGCACGTCAATCAAGGCCTATAAGCATGTAATGGCCGAGTCATTAATATATGACGTTTGTGGGCAGGATTTCCAGGTATAACGACCGTCAATTAGCCCACAGCCCATGCTGTGGAAGGTACCATGACGTAATCAAACAATGACGTATCGAGGAGCATATTTACTTAGCGGAGAAAATGCGTTGTCTACGGAAGTCTTTTCCGTTTAACTATACCAATACCTACAAGTGAGCTTATTGCATGATAGCTGATGCCTGTTTCAATATCTTCAGATATCTACAATTATGTCATTATCTTTATAGATTTCAACGCCTCCAAATGTCTATTAATAGTTGCATTCCCTTTAACGTCGATATTAAAGGGAATGTTTTACCTTCGAAGATAGTGAGGAAAGCATCAGATATGATTGGAAAAGCTTACTTGTAACTGTTGGTAGGCTTTCAAGGTTCAAAAAACGATCGTAAGTACCAAAATTCCAAAGTTTGTAAAAATGCACCCTATTACGTCATGGCTTGATGGCGTCATGGAATCGTTTTCTGATGACAGCATTACCTGACAGCGTCTGGCAGCCAGACCTAAAGAATATCTCGAAAGGCACGAAAGCTGACGCCTGCCGGCCATTCTCGTCACGGGTGCTGCAGCGAATGGCAGATAAGAGAATAGCTTGTTTGTAAATTTTTATTGATAATGGTCGTGGGAAAAGCTTTGGTCGGCTGATTGACATACACAACGTAGCAATCGCCAGCTTTTATGGCAGATTATTCATATCGAAGCTGCTGCTGCTTATATGCTTAAAAACGGTCCTTTAGTGTAATGAATCTCTTACCGAAACCTGCCAACGACTGTTGAGAACGTCAGTACTGTGTTGTCTCGCCCTATCCTTGTCTGCAGTGCTGTGGCCCTAACATTGCTATCTTGTGATCTGCACATTAGTTACTTTCTTCATTATTTGTAACTGGAAATGCAGTCACATGAAAAAATTAACAATAAATATGTAACATTGCAGTGAATTGATTGCCAAAACGTCGTTGTTGCTATCGTAAAGATGGTTAGGTTGAGCTACCAGGAATGTTTTCCTGCTAATGATTATTCATGCAGTCGCTACTTCACTCTGATATAACCATTTTGGTTTGTGTGCAACAACATTATCGCTGGTGATAGTCCTTTGGGAGTGGTAAATCAGCTGTTACCAGTCATTCATAAATTATAAGCTGTTATCTCATAGGCTTGACATAGAGTAGTCAACCGATGTCGTACATCGTGTAACGGCACAGGTCTACAGCGGCATTGTGGTACTACCTCAGCGCTGTGCTGTGGCATGGCACAATGAACAATGATACGGCTTTTGTACTGCAATCTCTGCCGCTTTCACAGTAAATTCCAAACGCCGATCGGCTTTTGTCGTTGAAATGGTGGTTCACAATTCGTGCATCGAAGACATGGCTCAGAGGCTGAATAGCAGGAGTGAAATTGGACTCGTAGCACTGGTTTGTTTATACAGTAATACAGAAGTGCAGTTTAATATCACGTAAGCCATTTGTGAAGATGAAAACAATAGCCAAAACTTACCCATGCATTCCAAATGCTGACCTATCTCTGCGACGCAGCTAGTGCCAGGCTGAGGAACACCGGAGACGGAGGGCGGAGCTGGTGCCTGTATCAGGTCGTCCAAGTCTGAGAGCATCGCTTGCACCCGGCACATCACTTCGCAGACTGAGCGACAAAAATCATGGATTAGACCCTCATGGATTAGACTCCATCGTTTCAGTGGATCCCGTGTACTGGCGGGGGCGCATACGTCAGTCTGTCGGAACACTCCTGGTCGTTCAAGGGGCCACCAAGTTGGTATTGAGTTTTTTTCTCGTTGCTCTAAGGATCTTTACTTGTTGATGGAAGCCTCTAGCTTGGTTGCCGCGGCACCCATCATAGCTCAGGTTCCGTCTCGGTGCCTCTTGGCCTGGGTGCGTTAGCTTAGAGCAGCAGTCGGATATACGTTGATGAAGTTCTAACCGCGCAGGTTGTTGAGCAATTTTGAAGTGCCGTCACCGTCACATGTGGCATTTCCAGCTACATCAAGCCGACCTGCTCAGTGTGATCAGGTCTTGGTTGCTGATTACTGCAGAGTTGTCGCTTTGTTATGAAGAAAGTAAAACATATTCAGCATTTAAACTTCTTTTATGCGGGAACCTTGACACTTGTGGCCACGGGGAAACGTATGCATCAGAATGACCATATTTACCATGATCTGCGCGAAATGAAAAAGGTCCATGCGTGCATACGTGAGACGCCCTATTTTTCCCGGACTGCGTGCAGTAAGATGGGTCTCGCCTAACAACCAACATACTGAACAACATGCAAGGAGATACACACAATACATACATTGACTCTGATGGCCGCAATGCGAGAATTTTCGGGGGCCCAAACTCTAGAGGGCCCGCAAAATTTCGTATTTTCCCCCTTTGCTTGACAAATCTTGAAATCCGCCCCCGAGCACTACATAGGCGCCTTCCCCAGATCAAACAACAGCCTCGCACGCCCGGCGTTGCAGCTCGCCATACGCCGCGCGACATCGGCCTGGGCCGTGACACAAAGCGATAGCCAATAAGCAAGCGGAAAAGATCACGCATCGTGAGGATGATGGATGGTGAACTACGCAAGTCGGCATGTGCGTTTAATGTAGTGCAAAAGTAAGCTAAACGCAACCTTAATCGACGAGTGAGTGGGGTCTAGTTAACACTGCTCACCCACATTGAAAAGGGGGGGGGGGCATGACCCTCTGCCCCCTCCCCTTGCCCCCCCCCCCCCCCCCCCCCCGTTCCCACACACTGATTTTGCGTACTGAGGGCTCGGTAGCGCAGTAGGCAGCGCGTCAGTCTCATAATCTGAAGGCCGTGTAGTTCGATCCTCACCCGGGGCACGTTTTAAGACGCGCAAATATCTTGGTGTTCCTCATATGGCGGTCATTCAGAAAGCCTACGATCACATCGCAAACCTAATAACAGCTTTCTGTTCCAAGACTCTTCCGGGACGTGATGTCTAACCAAGAGGGTTTTCGTTCGGCTGCGCGAACCCTACCTTGCAGTTCAGCCAGCTGGAGGTACGGCCTGGGTCAGACACGACGTTCGTGGGTATTCAGGGTGGTATCTGCTTGCCTGGGGAGCTCCACATCGCTGGATATTTCGTCGCTGCGGTCGAAAGAACGAATTGGATAAGTACCGGTTCAGTTCACCGACCATAAATGAAAATAATTCCAGTCCGCTGAGTTGGGCAACAACAAAGTTATCAAAAGCTATGAGATTAAGTCGCGAACTAAATTAACTGCGAAATGTATTGCGCAGATCGAGCACGTTTAACGATCTTGTCCACGGGTGAAAGTTGGCCTGGGGCCATTGAGCGGTCATATTCTTGATTTTAATTCCCTCATACAGTTTCGCGTTAATGGTAGTCAAGTCTTCCTTGGGGATAGAACTCTAAATGGGGTTGTCTGGGACTGCAAGCACTGCGACGTGCCGGCTGAGATAATACGCATGTATGCCTCCCAGTCCACAATATAAACTGTTTGACGGTTTTCAACAGCAGACATCAGATGATGACGATGACGCTGTGAGTGGCGCGAGGGTTTGATCGTGCGCCGCTGGAAGTCGCCGCTGTTTCACTAAAAGGCCGATAGCAACAACTTTGGTGAGAGATAATATTTAATTTGTAACGAACTTTCTGCCTTCAAATGTAACACTCGTGGATTAGAACCTAGCTGTAGAATTCACGGTGACTTAATCTACGTTATGCTCAAACCTGACATATTTGGGACTTCCTTAGAGTGCTTAGATGTATGAGGTGTTAACATAGTTCGTCTACTTCAAAATACATTGTGCTATTTTGGTCTTCGGTGTGTTAATGATATATGATAATAACTTTGCTGTCACTTCTAGATATGTTGTATTCTGGATGCGTGTACCAGCGTGCTTGCTTCACTTGATAACGGTGTTGTGTTTGTTTCAGAAACCAAAACAGTGTGTAAGAGAAGAAATACAAACGTCTCAAAGTCCTTTAATCGGCCGTCGATGGCAGTTTCAAAGCTGTCACCTGCGTCCACCTTTATTTCCACCCCCTAACATTCACCGATTATCTCCCATGAACCATGTCGAATGACCATTTCCTTTCACATTCAATGCAACACATGTAGCCAAGGTATGACGAAAGCCTGCTAAGTTCATGTGTTTGTTCAAGGTTAAATATACAGGTTGAGACTCGCATTCAGGGGTGAAGGTTATGTGGATTATAATTTGCCGCCTCTTTGTTTTCTATGTTTCTGTGGCACACGTCGCATGATTGTCACTTCAGCCAGTGCTATGGTAAAAATCAGTTTGCTAGGTTTTTCAATTTGCTGGATTGTTTCAATTTTTCAGCTTCCTGGCAACAGTCTGTCGCAGGACCTTGGTAGGGGCTCACGGTGCGGCAGTATTGTTCAGTCGGTCTCCATGCTGTTTCGAAAAAATATTCCTGCAGCACTGATGAAGTTGAAGAAGACGATGCAGACTGAAGAAGAGGCACTGCAGAAGTTGAAGTCTGACCTTGAAGTTTGATGGTGAAGTGCACTACTGTTACTTTCCTTCCATTGTTTCTGTACTCTACTACCTGTTTGTCTTCTGGCCACAATGTCGGTTACGGAGCTGAAACAGAAATGTCGTAGGTTGCTCAGTGTTCTGACAAGAGTTCGCAGGAGAGCTTCCGTGGTGATCGACAGTAGAGGTAGTAGAACACAGCTAATTTCCATCAGTTCTGAGCTTGATCACGCTTTAGGAAAGTTGAAAGAGGTTTATGATGGGCGTGTTGCCGCGCTCACTTCCGAGGAAGACAAGGCTCAAGCCAATCAATACTTTGAAGATGCAGAGAAGCAGCACGACAAGGCTGTAGGCGGCATTGAAACCTACCTGACAGAAAGAATAATAGTTCGTCAGTTGCATCGCATCAGCTATCTCAAGCGTCTTCAAAGTCATCAGCCTCCCGAGAGGCTGACACAGTTAAAAGTGAAGCACCTGGAGACAGCTCAGCTGGAGCGCCGACTAGCGGAAGAAAAGGAGGAGCAAGACGTGCAGAGGCAGCGCAAGTTGTAAAAAGCCAGAGAGGCGTATTATCAGCGCATACGGTTCCACGTTGGCCTATTTTAAAACTGATCATAAGCTAAAAAGGTGGAGATGGGGTACCGTGGTTAAAGGCGCATAGTCAAGTGCGGGGAAAAAGCCGTTTATGGTGCCTGGCGGGACCTACCATCCCGCCAATGCTCCGGTCACCCGCTTCATCCTAGATCTGTGACTCACATGGGTTGTGTGTTAATGTCGGCTGGACCAACTAAACAACTTGCCGAGTCGCGCGCTAGCATCATCTGGCTCGTATGCTGACCAATGGGCTCCTCAATATGAATTCGCCCTTTTGGGGAGGCGTGACAGCAGCAGCCGGCGGCGCACAAACATCCAGCAGCGGCCCGGTAGCACCGCAGCGCAAGAACGCCCACCACGGACCCCACCCCTCCCCCACAATCCCAGAAATTTATCCATTCCAAGGGCTTGGATCAAATCTTTAAAATAGTCACCTTAGCATTCATGATGTTGTATTAACGTCATTCAAATCCTGCCAATCCCCAAGCGGCAATCAAGGCCAAGAAAAATATACGTGTCAAGGCCTTCATATCTGGTGTTCGTGAGTGTAATTTCCAGATGGAACGGCCGTCAATTGGCTCTCAATCATTGTTGTGGAAGGTACGATGACGCAATCAAACCATGACGCATTGAGAAGCATCTTTACTGTGCAGAGCATTGTACGGTATAGAAAAGTCTCTTGCACTTAAAAAGTGTACCTGTAAGTGAGCTTGTTTCGTCATATCTCATGCTTGCTGCAATATCTTCAAATATGAAACATTCCCGTGAAGATGTTGATGTGCAGCCTCCCAAAACATTCCTAAACAATTGATGTGTAGTTGGTGCCATCTGGGAACCATGCAAGACCTGCCATATGGTTTTACCTATCTCATTTCATTGAACACCCAGGTGATGGTGGTGTTTGTTGTCTTGGAAACCTCGTACAAGCCAATTTTAGCTATCATGGCCTTAGAGCTGACGTCAGATTTTGAACGCTGAGCTGTCTGCAGGTAAGACTTCATGTGCATGCATGGAATATAATATCATGAAATCATCTGCTAGATTTATTTTATCCATCTCCTCTCCTGTCTATGTCAGGATGATGCCATTAAGCTTACACTAATGCAGTGAACTGCATGATGGCCATGCTAAACATGCTGTTTGGTCATGACTCATGGGTTGAACCGTCGCTGTAATTCGCAGTCCAGCTCCGGCGTTCTCCAGGCCGGCCCTCTCCAGCTCGGTGCTCCCCCCCTGGCACTCTCCAGCCCGGTGCTTTCCACCCTGGCGCCCTCCATCCCGGCGCTCTCCAGCCCGGTGCTTTCCACCCTGGCGCTCTCCATCCCGGCGCTCTCCAGCCAGGCGCTCTCCAGCCTGGCTCTCTCCAGCCCGGCGCTCTCCAACCTGGCGCTCTCCAGCCCGGTGCTCTCCAACCCGGCGCTCTCAAGCCCGGTGCTCTCCAACGCGGTGCTCTCCAGCCTAGTGTTCCGCAACCCGGTGTATTCCAACCCGGCGCTCTCCAACCCGGCGCTCTCAAACCTGGTGCCCTCCATCCCGGCGCTCTCCAGCCCGGTGCTCTCCAACGCGGTGCTCTCCAGCCCGTGTTCCGCAATCCGATGTCTTCCATCCCGGCGCTCTCCAATCCGGCGCTCTCAAGTCCGGCGCTCTGCAGTCCAGCTCCGCTACTCCCCAGCTCGGCTGTGTTTAGAGACAGTCCAGTGAGAACGCATGGATATGTTTCAATTGGCGTTTTGGGTTCAGTTCTGTCAACACGCTGTCGCATTTTTGCCGTGGTCAAATCATTGATTGAAGTACTTAAACCGTTCCTCCTGCATCTCATCTCTGAGAACGTCACAATCTAACCAATGTGGTAATCATATGGATTTGGGGAAGAAGAACCGGGCTGGTATGTATATGTACATATATATATATATTATATATATATTATTATATATTATATATATATATATATGTTGGGTGTGACGTTAAACTGGCAACTAGCCCAAGGAATTAGACTGAAATGGTTGGCCAAAAAACACCCATTTTGCCGGACGTTGGCCATTGTGGTGGCGGGACCATGATGTCTGCAGCAAGGCGTGCTGAGTGACGGGTCTGATTCCAAAGTCGCCACTGCATATAATTCGGTCAAAAATCCCTTTATTTGAGGCTGCGTGGTATTTTGTCACTTATTCATCTGTTACGACCGTGCTTACTGGGTCGAATCCATGGTTCTCGTCGCTCAGTCTGCGAAACATTGCACATGACGCAAGCGGTCCTTTCAGACCTGGACGACCCTGACCCAGGCGCCAGCGCACCGCGCTCCGTCTCCGGTGCTCCCCAGCCCAGCATCAGCTGTGTCGCAGGAACAGGCCAGCAGTTGGAATGCACGGATAAGTTAAAATAGTGTTTTTTGTGAGTTTCATAAACGGCTTACGTGATTCAAACTCAACTTCTATATTACTGTATGAACCATGCTAGTGCTATGAGTACAATTTGACGCACGACCCTTTCAGCGGTGGAACCCGTCTCGATGCACGGGCTGTGGAATACTATTTTAACGATGAAAACGCCGTTTTTTTCTTTCATAAATTATGGCTACGTACGCAAACGTGAGGTCTCTTGAGTCATACACCGAGTCCCGAAAGAGTCTTGGAACAGAAGCTGCGCGAAATGCAAGAAAGCACTAAGGTGCTGGCGTCGTGAACAAGTTCCACGGTCTCAGTTAAATGGGGCGTATGCTACGTAAGAGATGGGTTGCGGTAAGATCGCAAGCTTGCTGAAT